CCCCAAAACCCCAAAACCCCAAAACCCCAAAACCCCTGATTGCTCTTATTTATTGAAAAATGATAAAATTATGCTCAGAATTTAAACCCGCTGTTAAGATAGTTCTGGTAATTTCTATTCCTCGTAAACTCAGTTGTGGAGGGAAGAGCCTCTCAGCTTTCGGCACTCTCTTCACCCAAGTACTTGTATGAAGGCTTTCTGGTAGTTCATTTATGCTTAGAGCTATTAGATAGATACTTATGATAGCTTATATACCCTCCTCCAGTCCTTGGGTTCTCTTCAGCCCTTTTTGCAGAGGACTTCCTACCTGCAGATAGCTTAATATGCTTTGTGCTCCTTCAGAAATTCACTCTGTTAACATAAAACAACTGGAAGTAATTTTGGACTTTTTGGAGCTCGAAATCATTTTTGAAATAAAAATCTCCAGCTTGGTCGAAGGTACCGATCTGGCCTAGAATCTCTGTGCCAAGTACTGATTTATATACAGAGTCATTCTTGGGAGTCTGACTCCTAAACTGTTCACTCTCGATGGTGAACATATCTAGAGTCAGCTGTCTCTTTCCCTGATATAAGATCTCTGACGTCGTAGCTCCAGGGTTAAGGAATTTCTGTAACGATGGATTTCAGTTTTTCTTAGGAAGCTGAAATCATGGAGTCAACGGGCGATTTAAACTCTCATCACCAACCTTCAGATTAAGCAAAGCTGGTGAGAAATCTTGCTTGATTGAAGACAGATTATCCAAAGTCTGGTTGTTCTGACATTCTGAGAGATTCTTTAACTCAGATCTGATCCCATTCCCATTATTTAATGAGAGAGAAATTTCTTGATTATTATAAAAAGCTGTCTTCATCCATGAGAAATTGAATTTCATAATAGCCAGTAAGAAGAGTTTAAAGTTTCGAATATTTATGCCATTATTTTGGTTTCCCTTACAGATCCGCCAGATATCAAAAAGGAGCTGCCTCTCTCTAGTGAGGATTTCCTTTTCGTAGGAGAGTCTCATGAATCCCAGATCAGTAAGAACAGAAACTGCTTTATTTGTAGTTAAGGATCCCACAATTAGTCGTATCGTTCTTCTTTACTACTTCATGGAAGCAGAGATTGAACTGTCTCAAGCTCTCAATTTGTTCATCATTTTCATCGATAGTAGTTGACCTTCCCTGACAGTGGTATATGTATTGGCTGCGAATTTGAGATTTCTGCTTCCCACTCTCTATAAGGATAAACTTAAACTATTACTGCCAGAGGTAGATTTTTGGTATTCCTTGTTTGAGGAGGATTTACTTAGTGACTGAATTCTCTGATCTCCGCTCCTTAACCTGCTAGATTTTGCAGTCACAAGCAGATTTGGGGTATAAACTTTCCTCTCAAAACCTGATGGAGGACTTTTACTCTTGGTTAGTAATCTTACAGCACCCTTCTGAACAATTCTAGGTCTGCCAACGGTCTTATCCTTAGCTGGCTTTCTATTTCTAAGGGAGTCTAAATGCATAAATGTGAATACACTTGCTTAAGCTCTTAGTCTTTTTCATATACTTCCTATAATACTCCTGGCAAGGTTGGCTCAGGCCTTTCAAGAATTGCTTAGTATTCTCAAAATTAGCCTTCTTACACTTGGATTTCCTATTGAGGTACTTATTTCAAACTAGGGTTATTCTCCTTCAGTGTGTAAGGCTTGAATCTATTATGGCTATTCTTTTCAGAAGGCTTAACAGGAAGAGCGGGCTTCCGCCCTCTGCTGCTATTCTGCTGATTGGAATAACCAAGAGTACCATCAGACCTGATCAAAGCTGTAGGAGTCGTCTTGAAAACTCCTTCAAGTGGGGAGAAAAATACTCGTTCTTCCTGACCTCTTATTTTCATTTTAGTTTCTAACGTATATTATTATATCAATATATTATTTGATATGGGGTTTTGGGGTTTTGGGGTTTTGGGGTTTTGGGGTTTTGGGGTTTTGGGG